AAACAAAAGGTGCACCTACTTACTTTGTGTTTTGAATTTTTTAACAACATCCTTTGGCCTCTCTCGGCAGACGAGTGGCTTGGTTGTCTTGGAGATGGTTTAGTTATTTGGATGTTGTTTTGAAATGGTGTGTGTCCCTGCACATTACATCCCTTTTTTTTTAAGTACTAGGTAAAAAAAAAAAAAAGGTTTATTGTCAGTGTACAACATACAAGATCTTTTGGCTTTTTTCTGCTGTTTTAGACATTGGAAATTACTTTTTAAGTGGTATTTGTTTTTAAGCTGTTGTTGCATTGTTTAATAATTATACTTGGGTTTCACAACAGCTTGACATTTAATGGTTTTAGGAGTATACCTTTCAGCCTCCTCCTGAAATGAATGCCAAAGCACTTTATTCTGATTGAGGGGGGACACGGTGGTTTTCTTCCCATTATCTCCACATTGTGTCGGTCTCCACTGAGGAGATTTTGACAACAAAATCACATCCGTGGATGTGAGATCACGCCTTTAAAGCTACAGCCTCATCAGTCCTGCACCCTAAAGATGCAATTGATGATCTGCTGTCGTGTGGGATGAGAAGAGGGCAACGCCACATTTCAGCATCCGATGCTGCAAGTGTTTTATATACGGCCCGTCTGCGGCCTATTAACTTTCAGGCAATATGTCTGAAGCGTTTCTGTTTTTTTTTTGCTTGGCATGCTATGGCTTGTGTTTCGACTCTATTATTTGTTTTAGATGAATGCTGGGGAAATGGACTCATCATGTTGACATGTTGATAATGGCTGCCCTTGAGCCTGTGTCTTGATGTAGTGTTTAGCGTCTAAAATGCCTTTCAGGATGGAGTGCAGCTTGGGAATCATAAAATACAGGCAGAGCAAAGAGAAACTGAATTTCAGTTGCCTTGGTTGTTTATAGTGCTGTCGTGGTAGATATTTGAATATATTGTTAAAATTGCTTACATTAGAATAACAGATTATTTTAAACTCCACTGTGCACATTTATAACGCAAAATGTTCATGAAGGTTCACACTGACAGATGGAAGAGGATAAAGTCCTCACATAGTGCAGTGGTACCTTGCTAGCAGAGCTTATTTATATATATGTATGATTTCAAGCTGAAGTTTTGATTAATAAAAGGATAGGATTCCACCCTTGTTAACAAATTATACTGTTATCCTTGGGAGAACTTCCAGCTTTGGCTGAATATGTAAATAGTACTTCTGTAAATGTTGATTTGTGGCAACTAGTCAGCTTAGGCATTCAGCGTATTGCTATTTCGCTGCCACTGTCAACATTTAGATACTCTTCTTAAGTTAATTCTTGGGCTCATTATCTGGATTTTTATTAAAGATTTAACTTCTTACAGCCTCAGTGTCAGTTCTCAAAAGAGGATAAGTTGCGAAAATGTCAGTAATTATGTGTTTGAATTGAGCGGTGAGTCATTTGCCTTTGAACATCCTTTTATAATAGTTTGCTCTGTGTATTACAGGAAGAAATTTCAGAGTTTTCAGGATCGGCGGCTCAGGATTAATGAGGAAGACTCTTCCACACTAAAGAGAGCCAGAACAGACGGGAAGTTCCACGAAACTTTGCTTGACAGGTGTGAAAATAAGCTCATTATATATTTATTTTTAAACACTAATTTAAATTTTTTATGTTATGACTCTTTCTTAAGTGTTACTTTATGTAAACAGGGAATCAATACATGAAGATATAAAATCAAACTGCACCGTTTTTACTCAGAGTTTTCACTCAAATTTGTGTTCAGTTAAAAATTAGTTTATTAACACCATGAAATATGAGGCCGATTAAAGGCTGGCAGTTTCTGATTTAATACAAACACATTGCAATCCTCCTTCCAAAGTGAAGAGATTCACTTTGAAGTGTTTTCATTGACCTCCAGTTCACAGACATTTTGAGTTCAAGAAAATAATTACAGAAGGATCGTCATTATACTCTTAAGTACTTGAAATACTGAATATTTGCTTTTGAAAATATTTCCAATGTTTTTAAAAGGTACAGTTAAATATTAAGCTACAGCTGAAAGGTTAAGTAAAAATAAAATATGTGGAATATATTGGTGAATTAACAACATCCAACAACATTCTAAATTATGTTTCTGCTATTTTATTTCTTTACTTTTAGATACATTTTCCTTCCTACATAAATGTATCAGAGAGATTTCCAGACAAAAATGTTACATAAAAGCACAACACTCACACTGCAGTTGGACCAGCCTCCATTCCTTTATGTGTTTACTCTGCAGCATTAGATGTGTTATTTGAAGTAGTGAAACCTCATGGGCAGGTAGTTCAGGTTGCCTTATGTTATAACAGACTGAGAAATCTGTTTAGTGCTTCTGTTCACACATGAATGGTATGATACATAAATTCTCACATATCCTATGTGTTACTACTGCTAGGATGATGATGTAATTAAAGCTGTAGATCCACTGATTGACATTGAATTGATAATAATCAAATAACATAATAGTTTGATTGCACAGACACACTGTAACACTGAATGTAACACTTCATCTTTTTGTTTTTTGTTACAGGAGAAGCAAAATGAAAGCAGACAGGTACTGCAAGTGAAGACTCAACTTCTTTCCACTGCCATGTATTTGTTGTAGATTTTATAGATTTGACCATTTGATCTGACATTTTATGTTCTGTTTTTGTGTTGTTTTTTTAATATTTTGAATAAAATTAAATGGTCATGTCAGTTTTGTTGGTCTTTGTGTATTTCTGCCGCCAGCTGGATTCATCTTAATGGTGACATTTATAGAACTGGTGACCCATTGGATTGTTCTGTGTAAATAATTGACCATCTTTTCACTTTGCTCTGGATCAACAGTTTGTGAAACCTTTGGCTCATAGGATGTCCCATGTTTTTGGAATGAATATCATATTTTGTAGTTGTATGCAGTGATCGAGTGGTCAGTAAAATGTTATATAAACTATAACTGAGTTTGTAATTGGGCAAACAACTGCCAAAAGTGGCCTTTAACTAACCTTTAATGAAATGTCAGAGAATGTATTATTTATTTATACTGTGACTCTAATAAGTTTGACAGTATTTGGTGTGATGTTTGCCATGAGTTTATGTAATGAAGATAAATGTCACCTGAAAAATGTAATGCACAACACTCCATTCCTCTTTCTACACGTCATGGCCAAAAGTATGTGGACACCTGAACAAACTCTTGTTGGGAGGTTTTCTACATAGTTGATGTCCCACTTAATCCCAAAGGAGCTGACATCAGTGCAGGTCAGTCAAGTTCATCCTCTTAAACCTCTGAACACTATTGGGGTCTTTGTTGTGTTGGAGCAAGAACAGGGCCTTACTCAGAGTTAAAAGCCCACCTGAATACATTGTGTGTTGCAGCATCGAGGTTTCCCTTCAAATAAGGGACCTACTCCGACACAAACAGTTCCACCACCAAAGTATGTAGTAATAAGCATTTGTCATTTCTTTTCATGGCAAGGGGCCCAGACACTAGTTACAGCTTCTAAGTTGAGAGTTTTTACTGCTTCTCTTTGTGTCACATTACGGTAAACTGAATATCGGTGGGCCAAAGGCTGTTGATTGAACAAGAAGTTTGAGAATGTCCCATTTGGGCTTCAGAAATCTGTGACAGTTTTGGAGGAGTTACCAAAATCTTTTACTTAAGTAAAAGTACCAATACAGCAATGTTAAAATACAAGTAAAAGACAATTCAAACCCTTACTGAAGTAAAGATAAAGAAAGTATTATCAGCAAAATGACTCAAAGTATCAAAAGTAATGTCCTCGTTCTGCAGAAAAATGGCTGCCAATGACCAATGTGTTGTTAGATATACAGTTTGGCGATTTAGTCCAGTGGTTCCCAACCCAGGGATCGGGCCTGTGGGGTTGTGGGTTGATTAATGGGGTACAAAAAAACAAAAATAAATTATCTTGTTCTTGTTTTGTTTTTTTATCTGTGCTTTTTACATCATCTATGAAACCATTATTTTAATTAAACCACCACACAAGTTTTAGAGGGGATATTAGTCTAGGTCGCACTCAACAACTCATGGGCACCTGGAATATTACAACGCATTGTATTTAATAAACCTATCACATGTTTTATGTCAAATCTTAATCTGAGAATAAAACTAGTAGCTAACGCTGTCAAATAAATGTAGTGAAGTTAAAAATACAATATTTAAAGTGTAGTGCAGTGGAAGTGTTAGGTAACATAAAATGGAAATACACAAGTAACGTGACGTTGCATGTTTGTTGTGTAAAATCTGCTAATGCAATAAACATTTATAAAGTAAGTGGACGGGTGGTGTATACAACACATTACTTAACTAAATGCAAAGTTATTCGGTGAAGCAAAACGGTGGGAAACAAATATATTCAAAGCCTTTTTAAATAGACACGCAGCTGTCACAAGGGGAAATAAATGAATCGAGTAACCACATGATCATGTTATTTAGTTTTACTTCCGTGTGGAAGGAACCACTAGCCTGTCTGTGTAGAGGGGTGTTTCACATCAACTTGTTACTCATTTTGTCCAAGGCTATCGCTTTTATAGCAAAAAAAACAAAACAATCATTATTATATTTCTAAATGCGTGCAAAACACGTGTGAATTATCTCTCGTTTATTTGTATAAAAGGTGTTTTATGTCTATTTGGGAGCCTCCCGGTTCCCCTCTCTGCCATAAAAGTGAGGTCACTGTCATGAGATAAACAGTTTCCGTTTTAGTCTGCAGCACAGGACGAACAGCAGTTCTGGTGAAGTCTCTTAAAAATGGCTCTCTGTGTTTGTCTCTTTTTAGCGGCTTTATTTTCCGTCACATCGACACAGTTTATACCACCGGTAAGCGACATTTCCGCGCAACCACTGTGCAGTTTAACACTTTTATTTTGACAAATATCTGCTTGTGTTGTCTAACTACATTGAATTCGTGCATTTGTTTACAGTATACTGAAGACTGTCGGGCAGAAATGTATCCACCAAATGGCCCCACGTAAGTGACATTAAGTTAAAGGAAGAAACCTTGTGAGTGGCTGTTACAGAAAGTCCCACTGTAGTTCGTTAGCTGTGTGAGTCATTGTCAATGTTTTGTAACACCTGTGCTTCATAACAGAGCTCTGCTACCTTCACTTGCTCCTTGTAAACCTCAACATCCACATACACAAGTTGCAGGTAGAATGATGCGTTTGGTTGCAAAGAAAGAAACAGGAATTGCAGATATGTTTTGTTTACCTGTTTTTGTTTAGTTTAGAAATCAACATGTTTACATTTAGGCACCAATTTTACACTATCTGTTTACACGTCATGAGAAGTGCTACTTAGCCTGTGTTATAAATGTCTTTTGTGAGTCTGGAGGAGCTTTTTAAAGTCTGATAATAGTCAGTGGCCAAATCTTCACTGGTTCCAGCTTGTCAAATGTGAAGATCCACTGCTTTT